AACAATTAAAATATGTGCAAAATGATAGACCTTACATTTCAGCAACTATACCCTGCAAAAACTGGTCCAAAATTTTTATTTTGTTTTACTGTATTATTTTATTTTAAGATAAAAACAAAGCAATAGGACAAATACAATAAAACAAGAGTGCTAATGAAATTATTATAATGCTCTACCTTTTTCAGGTAGGTCTATCAGTAGTGTTCAGGTATAAAAACTACGAAAATAAATGTAAAAATAAATCTCTGCATAGTCTTCACTATGAATTAAATAATTACATTAATACATTATCCTACCTTTATTTTCACATTAATATGTTTCTTTATCACTCTAATGTGTCGATACATTTTAGTAGTGTGCAGATTTGCATACAACTATATGAACGATATAGCAAAATCTCTATAGATAGACACTTTATACAATATAAAGTACACAACATATAATACTATACATATACTGTATATATATATATATATCTCTCTCCTCATATCGCCCAGTCTTATAATGCAGTCGATTGGAAGTCCTTTTAAGTCATATGATGGTTTTGTGTAAGGAACAGACTATTTACTTTGTAATTCAATAAAAATCTTGACTTTTGCTGTATAGCTCTCAAATCTCATTCACACTTTTATTCAGTTAACATGAGCTTCTATTGTAGGACTTGAGAGGACGTGAAATATGGCCCATGAGTTATATGAAATACTTTTATGACTTTTTAGAAGTTGTATCCATTTTTTTTTTGTATAATAAAATGCCTTCTAGAAAAAGAGACCTTTGGGCCACCCTCACATTGGCTATTGGATATTCAATACATCAGCACAAGAAAGAAAATTGCGTTCATCAAACCATTTCATCCATTTCAATTTATTCTTCCTGAGTGCACCAATCCAGTGGTGCTTTTCGTAGCCCATCATATGCTCTAACAGTGGCCACAAGATTGTTTAGACAGCTGCAGTGCCATGTTTCCAAACAGGCATCATTTTTTAGGGCTTTGCTGTATTGTTCTAATAATTGCTTTGATAACTGCCGCTTTGAAACTGCCATATTTATTGCTACAGAATAATTAATAGTCTTAATATCATTTTAATGCAACCATTGTAATCAGAGCCTCTTCATTGCTTATGTGCTAAATTTAAACTAATAATGCTCTTTTAAACGAGTGGACGATTATGCCTGAGGTAAAAATGATAGTTTAATTTAACCTAAAGATCATTTCGTTCCAGCCAAATCCTTTAAAGATTTTTTTTTCTCCGAAAAGGCAGACTAAAAACTGCCAGTGACTGTTAAAAGAGCCAGCATCTGATGTGAAATCAGTTGAACAAAATGCATAAGAATACATCGGATATCCACTCACAGATATTCATGTGAGGTTTGTTGCTCCATCACAGCCAAGTCGGATCTTAACTTAACAGAAGGGGCTTTTATCCTCAAAGGATGAAGTTCTCAAATCTCCTCAGAATGCTTCTGATGTTAATTAATGAGAAAACGGGGGTGTAGATGTGTCACGTTGCACACACACGAGGGACGAGGAGTCGCTGGAGAATGCTTTACCAAACTTCGAGTCAGAAGTCAGCTTTCACGTTCCTCTTCAATTAACGCCAAAGGGAAGCAGCATTCATCTCACATCACTAGCTCACAGCAGCACACTTCTGGAGAAGGACCAGACAACCGCAGAGGATTACAAGTCAGACAGGCCATTTTTTTTGGCAGGGAGCACTTGAACGATGCAACCTCTCCATGGATATTTATCACTGGGCTTCCAGACGGGTTTTAATAAATGTTTGAGTTGATAAAATATATATGCTTTGTTAAATATGAATCAACTAACGGTTGGAAGGTATTAGACACAATCAGTAAATATCACCACATGCAGTTTTTCATTTACGCAAAGGAGTTGAAGAGCAAACCTCCCTCAAATAGTGACCCGCGGGAAGCCATATTAGCTATCACAAACATCTGATCAGTGCATACAAATTAAATAAGCTATGCTGCTACAGTGTGTGCGTTTTAAAAGTTGTTCATTTTATGTCATTATTGAATATAGTATTACGTTTTATAACCCATTAGTATAGATTGGTGGGCTATTGCCCTTTTAGTTCTTGCATTTTCACATCTGCATAACAATGATGAAAAAGGATGCCATTGCTGAAAACCAGCTATTTTATAAGTTAAGGCTCATCATTTCATTGACTGAGAAGGAACAAACTTTTACCTGTACTTCAAGTGCAGGGCTATACAGAAGCTGCAACCCTGCTGTAAAAAAAGAAAGAAAAACAAACAACAAAACATTGCAGCAGGCAGATGGTTGGTCTCCCAGTTTGGCCAAAATGCTTAGACTGGTCAGGTTTTTGGGGCTTGTCTGCTGGTCAGGCTGGGAGATCAGATGGCCAACCAGCCAAATCAGCGAAATCGCCAGCTTGGTCAAGTTTATTTTATTCATGCAAATTGTATGGCAGTTAGCTCTCAGCAGAACTTGTTTTGTTCCCTTGCCCTTCAGGGCAAATCCTGGTTTAAGCTTGTCTTAACTGGTTTAAAAAGGTCTCCCAGCCTGACCAAGATGTTCTTCATCTGATCTAGCTAGTATCCCAGCCTGGCCAGCTAAAAAACACCACTAAAACCAACCTTAAAAAAGGAGACCAGTTAAGATCACTAAACCAGCAAAGTCTTGTGTTCAGCAGGATAGTAAATAAAGTTGATACTACATACTAATTGTTAGCTAGTTATATTTGTATAATAGTGAACAAACAGATTTGTAGATGAATATTTATTTACTTACTTACTTTGTGTGACAAGCAACCCAGGCTCATTGGGAAAACTTGCCTGAGGTGACATTTCTGCAAAAAAAGGTATTATGTTGCTTCTTGTATGTTGTCCAGTGAGTGGCTCTAAAAGTGCATTCAGCTTTATCTGAAACAGATCAATGTGAATCTGACAATGTTTTATTACGTTGGCTGTTGTATGTTTTGTGGCAGTTCAGTGGTGAGTGGCGCTAAAAGTCTCTTTCGTGTTTGACAAGAACATACCGCTTACACTAAACCCTACCCTAAACCTAACCAATAGTGTTAACTTCAGATAAAAACAAAAAACAAAACACATTTGGTGATGTATTCATGCCATTGTAGCTTGCTTCTACAAGTCTTTGAGCATTTATTTATGACTCATGTTTCACGGGACTCATACACAAGTACTTTGCATCACAAGTGCAATGCTGTGTGAGCTACTGAGCAAGTTTACAACTGTATGCCAAAAAAGCCATATATTTGGAGCTAGTTATCTGAAGCAAACACCAAAATCTATTAGTTTATAAATGATGCACTACTTTTTTTGAGGTCATAATAACATAGTATTGTTCGAAAAGAAGCTTTTATTGATCAATAATCAACACCATAATCATAAATTGTGTGAAAAACAACCATCTGTCGGTTTTTATCTACCACTAGTGTTCATTTCAGCTGGAAACTGCAGTGAATTTGTATATAGAAGCAAAAATGTAGGTAAAGATATGTTTTTCCATTAATCCTTTGAGTTGGTTACAAGACACAGCAAAGAAAATACGAACATATGTTCACTGAAAAAAAAAATGTCTCTACTTACAATTGTAGAGAACTGCTACGAACTGCTGCGATATGTACAACAATCAGCTGGAAACTGCAGTGAATTTGTATATAGAAGCAAAAATGTAGGTAAAGATATGTTTTTCCATTAATCCTTTGAGTTGGTTACAAGACACAGCAAAGAAAATACGAACATATGTTCACTGAAAAAAAAAATGTCTCTACTTACAATTGTAGAGAACTGCTACGAACTGCTGCGATATGTACAACCAGCATATTGAAACATTGCCAGATTTAGTCTGAACACACTTCATTAAACTTTGAAAATGTCGTTAAATGTAAAAAAAATAATAAAAAAAATAAAAAATACGTAACATCATTTTACAAAATTTCATTACAAGCAAAAAAAAATATATATAATAGAAATTATGATCTTGTTCCAAATGGCACCCTCAGTCCTAGCGGCCCTCTTTTGTGTCCACACTTTTTAGACATAATGCTGTAGAGTCCGCAGCAGTGCGGCTTGGCAAACGTAGGTTCACCCTTCTCAATCATAAAATTACAAATGGCGCACCTTACAGTCTTGTGGCATTTGGGACAAGAACAATGTGGAAATAGATTCAGGAAGACGCTAACTCTATGGTTTCTTGTTTGGTCTTGAATAGTTGTGTAACTAGGAAGATATAAGTCCTCCATTGTGTGAAGTAAATGAGGGCGATGTGATTTTGGGGGCAACCTAGATATCCTTTTTTTTCAGCTGATGACCTTTTGAAGCAGGGATGTGATGTTTCATTACATTAGGAGGTGGCATTTCATTGACAGGAGTGTCCAACATTTCACTGGAAAGTAGTTAATAGAGAAGAGCGCAAGAGAGTTAGAAGAGAGATAGATAGCAAGAGGCCATGCAGCTTAACAATTTCATTTCCCCAAAAATATTATGACTTTAAACATCCATCCGTATGGCTTTCTTATGTTCTTCTAATTAGAAAGATAAGAATGAAATGAAATGGAGCTTTTATATAGATGGCTCCAAATGATATTTCTGATGCTCTGTTGTACATTTAAAGGAATACTTCACACAAAAATTACAATTCTGTCATCATTTAGGAGCTTAATGTCATCTGACTTTTTTTCTTCATTGAACACAAAAGGAGTTTTTTTCTTTTTCTGATTGTTCAGGCTGCACTCCTCCATGAAATAAAGATAATAAACAAATATCATTTGTCACATTCAGACTTGTCACAGCAGGTTATTTTTCGGCAATATTTGGTGACAATATAAACGATACTTGTCCATTTGTGTTCCATGAAAGAAAAAATGTCTTTCAACATCAGGGTGAGTAAATTATGACAGAATTTCCATTTTGGGGTGAACTATTCCTGTAATTCTGTAATAGCCTTATTTATATTCTCTCTCTCTCTCTCTGTCTCTCTCTCTCCAATTTAGGTCTGATTCGATTACAGGAGCTCATCAAGGCTCCATCTCGTTACAACATCCGATTAAAAATCCGGCAGCTACCAGCAGAAACAAAAGATGCCAAGCCCCTTCTTAAAGAAATGAAACGAGGGAAAGAGTTTCATGTGATCTTTGACTGTGGTCATGAAATGGCAGCTGGCATCCTTAAACAGGTGAGTCACTTTTATTAACTGATTTCACACTGAAGATTACAAAGACTGATGTGGAAAATCACCCCAAAATGACCCCCCCCACAGTTTTTAAATTATAAGAGTAAAACTCATTTTCATTACATTATCTAACTTGAACAAAAGTGAAGGATTGGGTTTTTATAAATAATGTAGCAGCGAGTCAAAGGTGTACAGAAAATTATTGCACATTCATTTAAAGAATTACGGATATGCATCTAAGAAAGACATAGACGTGGGATTTTTTTTTTTTAGTTTATTGTTATTATTTTATTGTAAAAAGTAACATCAAATGTTATGCCATTCTGCTGAGGAAATAGCTATGCATACATGCATACTGTACATATAAAAACAGAATTCACCATATACACAATTTAGTTTTCTTTCGCACAGAAAACTGAATACCCCACCTCCCTTTTCCCCTAATCATCTTTTCTCCCTTTCTGTTATATGAAGATTGCATTCGGTTGCAGCTGTCTCAAAAAAGTTTTACCATGCCTTCATTAGTTACTTTGCTGATTCCCAAGACTTTTATGTATAGATTTTATTGTTTTACCATTATCCTAGACCCAGACTTTCGGTCTTATTATTAACTTTGGAAGTATGAAAATCCATCATAAAATATTAAAGTTAGAAAAAAGTTGTCAAAAGGTTAGTGTATTTGCTTACCAAGAATATGAGAGTGTCAGTGAAGAGCATGCTTGATATGAAATATGATGAATGTGATGTGTGAAGTAAACAAAGAAAAAATCCAACATAGCCATTTCCACCACAGGATGCTACTAAACATCATTTGAGATGCTGATATAATTGTAAGTAGGCAAAACAAAGTAGCAATAGTATGCAATTTTTAACTGCAAGAGGAAAGTTCATTGAGACAAACTTTAAATGTTGGTTTGACAAAACAGTGTCTGAAATTATACAGTACCTACACAATTTGAAGGATAGCAGGCAGACAAACAAACAGATTTATACATTTTTCCACTCTGACAAATCAACTTGCATCATTTTATTGAAAACATGAAAGAATACAAAGGTTGGCCACCACTTTAGTGTGGAACTGAAGTTCTAATTTTATGTAGAATTATTCATTTTAAGTACTGAGTAATCATAGATTTTAGGAAACAAAGCAAGAGAACAACTGATCCTCAGTCTCAAGCAGGGCAGTGGTTTGGTGGAACTTTATGTATTTATTCTGCGAGTAGGGACTGAATAACTCCCTAAATGCTATAAAGACTCTGTGTTGTGTTGTATTGTATTGTACTGTAGAGGATTTAAGCCTCTTCAAGCAGAGCTGCAGGCACAATAACCTAAAAGCTTATTGAGAGTTCACGTCAAAAACTAGAAACAATTTCTCAACAATTTTCAGGGTTCCAACTCAGGGTTAAGCAGATCAACAAAACCTGTTTATCTAAAGACATTTATAAGTGCCTGTTATAATAGTCTCCTGAGACCCAGCCATAAACTTTTTTTTTTTTCTGTAGAAGACAATACATTTTAGCAAATTTCTCTGAGACCATACATGTCACAAAGTACTGTAAAGAGCACATTCAGGGCTTTTGAGACAAATGTTTGAAGGTTTGATCATGGAAACTCCCTCTACTTGGTCTTTAAAAATGACTGACATTAGCTATGTTTCCATCGCCTTGTTTTTATGCACATTTTGAAGTATCGCAGCAGAAACAAGTAATGGAAACACCAGATTTCGAATACAAAAAAATCCTTATTTTGCAAAAAAAAAAAAACATTCTCGCTTGAGGTGGTTTTTGACTTGTGCGAAAAAGAGTTAATTCAAATAATGGGAGATGGAAACACATTTACCGAATAAATTCCTCTATGTGCATCAAAAACTCATGTGACTTTGTACAATGGGACAGGATAACTTGCAACCTGGTCTCATAAAAATACGTACCTCTGTGTACTTTTTGTGCAACACCGTTTTTACGTACCTTACTGCACGTTTCGAGAGAAATGTCCACTGAGTGGAGCTAACACACGGGTTCAGTATGTGAACCCTGGTACATTTTTATTACGTTGATATAGGTACGTATTGCTGTGTTTTTATTATGTTGCTTCAGGTACGTATTGCGGTGGTTCAGAATTCAAATATCCGTGTACTGTCGCTAAAATTTAATGCTCTATCGTGTTGGAAATATGCCCTACACCAAACCCAACCCTAAACCTACCCGATAGTGTTAACAAATGCAAAACTGATATAAAAACACATTTGTTGATGTTTTGTCGAACCGTGGTTACACGGGATTCGAACTGGAGTTCCTCGCCTCTCAAGTACATCTCCGTACTCCGTGAGCTACCCAACAAACCTACCGTTGATGAAAACCCATAGATATGAAGCTGGATATGTGCGATGCTAACGTTCAAAAGCATCAGTTTTCAAATCTCCCAGCATATTAATATTGTTTTGAAGTCATAACCTGATATTCTTCAAGTAATTGTGCAAAAATTACGCTTTATTAATCGAGACTCTGTAAATTAGTGTGAAAAGGAATAAAATTTACTGCCTCTAGTGTTCATTTATTTTGGAAACTGCAGTGATATGTAGTTATTGGTACGTATTTCGCGTCTTGCTAAAAAGTGCCCAAGTACGTTTATGCCATGAGTCCAGGTAGATAACTTGACTAACCAGCGGACTGATCTCATTGCACAGCATGTTGCTATAGTCATTCTGAAATGCCTGAGCAAAGTCTGTCATCAAAGAATTTCCGTATAATTGCCTCCCAGAACTGTTACACGACTGTGTTCCCAAACAGCAGTCATCCACCTTCGAAAGCAATGACCCCATTTATTGTGTTTCGTCTGCTCGCTCTAAGGCGCAAGGAATTTATTTTATATAAAAAATATTATATTCAGTGGCTTCTCCTACTTTTCTTAGTGATATTTAGTGCCAGTTTATCAGGAAGTGACGATTTTGTTCTTTTTGACTCGTTGGATGGAAACGCTTCATTCGCAAATGTTTTATGCAATATTCCAATTTTGCGCCTAAGTTAAATTCGCAACTTTGGATGAAAACATAGTGATTGACTGAATGACTGAATTCAGCACTCTGTCTCATGTTCAAACTGTTTATAAAATACATGTCTCAGGAGTACTTTATAGGGATTCAAATAAAAAAAAATCATTAAACGGTGCCCCAAGAACATATTAATATGCAAGATGACAATGTTTAAAATATATATTATGTAATGTAAAATAGTATATCAAATCATTCTGTAATGCATTTCATAACATAGTCGAGAATCATCTCATCTCATCATCTCATCATTTGTATAATGTTTGTGAATGAATGAATGAATGAATGAATGAATCAATCAATCAATCAATCAATCAATCAATCAAAACATAAATTTAAGTTTGTGGTCCAAAATTAATATATATAATTTAGATGATATAGGAGTATAAAATGTTAAACATTGTCACCAACCAATTGCTACTCAAGTTATCTCAACTCAATCTAGAAGTGTATGTGAAGAACCAAATTAGCCATATACGAATTACAAAAATGAGAAGCTCTGACATGTTGCATTTTTTTTTTTTTACATTTACGCAAAATGTGAAGAATGAAGCCCTGGTCTTTCTGATCCCAAACGTGGCTTGTCTATGTGATTACTCTGCTGATATGGTGATTTTATCCCCTTTGTATGTCATGAAGGAGAAAAGTGCATGCATTGTTTTTGACCTGTTCATTTATTGTCTCTTTTGATCTTGTGTGTGAGATTGATTTGTACACAATCAGTGAAGTGTACAGGTTTCATTGATTACCTATCAGTCAGTCAAGCTTACATGCTCCGTTAGTCAGTATGTTTGCATGTAATTAGTCAATAGGGTAATGCTCATGATGTGAAGTGCCCTACAAGAATACTGCTCTTAACCACTGTTGTTCCATATATCTACAGTATACTGTATGCTATATTTTACTTTGAAAATGAAGCTGTAAATAAAACAAAGATGATTAGAATGTTTTATAAGAAAGTACTATTTCCGTCTTTCTGCTTAAATTCACGTGTCACTTGACATTTCTTTAATTATTAGTTATTAAAAAAAACATTTTTAAATAAATCCTTTATTTATTTTTTATTTTAATTTTTTCATTGTAGGGTATAATGCAATCTAATCTTAATGGGAAACACTGATTAAATAAAGTGTGCCAAACAATGGATAAGGATATGCACTGCTAGAGTTCTGTGAATAGCCTTGCAAAGAGAAAACTGATATTTCAATGTGTGACTTAACTGCAAGAATTTTCGCCCAATTACAGGAATAATCAAATATTAAAGTGGGTATTATTAAGCTAGAGATTGACTCACAGACCTCGTTAATCAGTTTCAGACCACTGAAGTAATAATGAAGATACTCATTATTAGTGGCAGTGGATATATGCTTCTATAATGGGCAGCTCTCAGAGGGTTTGTGTGATATCCACATTGGAAACTCTTGGCTTTGTGAAGTCGTCCACACTTTTGAACTTTGCAAAATCTGCTCAGGCTACAGAGACATTATTTCCCAACCATATGTTTCACACAAGACTGAATTTAATAATTAATTTAACTTTGGGGCTGATGATGGCAATGATAACTGGGTCTAGCAAGGATGTAATATTTCAGATATTTGGATCTATCAGATTAGTTATTATTATTATTATTATTAATAATTGTATTTATTTTTTATTTTATTTATACAAAAAATAATGATAGTCCAGGCTTATTGTGTATACCGAAAACAATTATACTACACTTATAACAATTTGTAAACAGAATATCAGAAGGAAATATTGCTGCTGTACATTTAAGTCTTCTATACAAATGCACACATTATTTCATGGACTGTGGGTTTGCTGTTGCATCTAATATAATTTGAACTGCTCTGTCCTTACAATAACAGCCTCTTTGCACTGTCAGCATTACACTTTTACAAAATACACTGTGATGAAATGTGCCACTCAAACTGTTAAGATCAGACTGAAATGA